AATAACTAAATGACTTTAAAAGACTAATAAATTTGATGTCTCACACTGAAACATGTACTTTCTATAACTCGTAACTTCCTTCTCCTTTTGCTCAAACCAGGAAGCTTCGGCATGAAAATTTGGTCCAGTTGTACGGGGTGTGCACCAAACAAAGACCCATTTATATAGTGACTGAGTTCCTTTCCAATGGTTGCCTGCTGACCTACCTTAGGGAGGGCCTGAAGCAGCACCCAACAGCTGTCCAGCTCCTGGAGATGTGTAAAGATGTCACTGAGGGCATGTCCTATCTGGAGTCGAAGCAGTACATCCACAGAGACCTGGTGAGAGACACAAAGCAACACATGTGCCAGTACATTTCTAGATTGTTGTATCATGTTATGTTGAGAAATACTGACATTAGATATCCGAAGATAACAGTAAATGTTTAATGATTACACTCAAGAAAGTTGTTTGTTTTGTCCTCAGGCTGCCAGGAACTGTTTAGTAGATGGCAATGGCACCGTCAAAGTGACTGACTTTGGACTATCAAGGTAAAATAGTTCACATGAAAAACAGGATACACAGAGGCACATTGGTGTCTAATAAAGTACGATACTAAACTCTGTTCTACTACTGTGGCTCTTAGTACTTTACTGGAATATTTCTATTTACTGTGTATTTACTCCAGTCATTTAATTTACCATTTTAGTTACTAGTTACTTTGTACATTAAGATTTTACAAAGATCACCTTACTATCAACTTTAACATAAACAGTATATATTTAGTATTTAATTAGCTCCACATCCACCAACAACAGTAAAATGCTACTTACAAATGAATGCATAAGTAATTATTATGTAACAATATAAAATATATTAAAATAACTCAAAGGGGCCATTTCTTCTTCACAATGAGTATTTTTTGTTTTTAAACTTTAAGTACAATAGTTGACTTCTGTCCTTTTACTTTTCTCAAAGACCTTTTACGTGTATAGAGTATTTTTACATTGTGGCGTTTTAAGGGAAATATCTGATTACATCTTCCACCGCTGCCTCAGATATGTCTTAGATGATGAGTACACCAGCTCAGCAGGTTCCAAGTTTCCTGTGCGTTGGTCACCTCCTGAGGTCCTCCTCTACTGCAAATTCAGCAGCAAGTCAGACATATGGGCATATGGTGAGTCGACACAAAGTAAAGTTTCAACTGTCAGTTCCCTACTGCATTTCTGGTCAGTGACCAGTGTAATATGTGTTTAAATGTATTCACAAACTATAAATTCACATCTGGGTTAAAACATTGTATGTATGTTTGACCACATTAACTATTTCCCTAAATACTTAGGGGTTCTTATGTGGGAGGTGTACACTTTGGGACGGCTTCCGTATGAACGCCTTAACAACACGGAAATAGTGGATCAGGTGTCCCGGGGCCTGCGCCTCTACCGCCCCCAGCTGGCCAATGAAAAGGTCTACAACATTATGACAAGCTGTTGGCTTGATGTAAGTTACTTTTGTGGGCCTCAGTAGAAACTGTGACAATGACCGTGTACAGAATTATGATAATATTGTCAGTATTGTCAATATTTTTTTCCACAACAATCTCATTTGTTGTGTTTCAGAAAGCAGATGAGAGACCCACCTTTGAGAAGCTGACACTGACTGTTCAGGATTTGCTGTACGAGCTCCAGTAGATCTCAGAATAATCCACACCAGCAGCGTACACACAGAAACAGTTCACTCTGGTCCGCACAGAGCAGCATCTCCTTATGGCTCTGCAAAGTTAACACAATCATGAAAACGGTTAACAGCTTGAACACAGGACTGCACTGCCACACTGAGATCCTCTGTAATGTGAACATGTGTAATGTGAATGTCATTATAACTCATTGATTAGAATAGCCTTCCTATCACATTATTGAAAGTATAGTCCAACAGACTAGCATTTAAAATGTGTATATTTTATTGAAGGTTATTGGATTTAAAAAATATATATATTGTATAGCCTATGTCTTTATTGTATTCTACGGAAGCGTATTGCATTCACTTGAAAATTTATTTTTGGTTTGTTTTTCAGAGTAATTTTTTTTTCTGTTTTTTAGAGTCATTTATTTTTATGGTTGGTTATTTGGACTAATTTCTTTCTGATTTTCTGAAAGCATTTGAAACAATAGACACATTCATTCCTTTATTGAGAGCTTGATTTAA